AATAGGTTATATATATATATCTCGATCAGCCTTGTGCCACAATTTTGTACTTGTGCAAAAAAAAAATACCCAGAATACAGCGGCGTCTCTTATTATTTTGAAGGGTGGACGGGTCCTACTGACATTTGTTTTGATTTCATTTTTGTGTTTCATTTTTAATTTGTTTTCTCCGGTTTCATCCCCCTCCACATCATTTCATGAATTAAGACATTTTTATATAATTTTTGTTAAAAAAAAAAAAAAAAAAAAGTGGGGGAGAAAAAGCCAAAAAGAAGACATTTCGGACTTTCCATCAAATTTTTATGTCATGCGGTGGGATTTGTAGGTCCCAATCCTATTCAGCCCTGTACTTATATATATATATATATATATAATAAATATGAGTAATTATACTTGTTTGGAAAAACCTTAGGTGTTTTGGCTTGTAAATGAACAAACCAATACCCAAGAAAAAAATAAGGGATAAAAAAGAAAGAACTAAGAACATGTAACTGAGGCGAAAACAATCGTTCAGAGTCCAAAGAAAAAAAACCTCCAACACGAGTAAAGCAAAGGTAACTAAATAAAGTGCTCAATACACTAAGTAGAGCAAATCTAACTATGAACCTAAAGAACCAGGCAAATCCACCTAGGTTACACCTACGCGGATTGTCGGGAAAAACTGGCTAAAGAGGTAAAATTAGAAGAGAGTATAAATAGCCTACATTGTGGGCTATTTATACTCTGCTCTAAATTTACCTCTTTGGCCTGACGATCCGTGTAGGTGAAACCTAGGTAGGTTTGCCTGGCTTTAGGTTCATAGTTTTATATATATATATATATATATATATATATATATATATATATATATGAGCGAGAGAGAGAAACATTGAAGACAAAACTCAGAGGTGACAGACTGTTTCATGCTACACGCAATCATCAGGCCTAATGATTGCGTCTAATATGAAACAGCCTGTTGCCTTCAATGTTCACTTTTATATTTACATACGTTCTATCACTGATATTGAGGACTTTATTCCATACACCTTAAAACTCTCTCTCTCTCTCTATATATATATATATATATATAAAGGATGGGCCAAAATTAGGTTTACACTTAGTAGGTATGCACTTTACATTTTTTAAAAACATTTCATTACATTATATTTATTTGTTACAATCATATTTGCTCCAAACTGTTTATGTACATTTGTTTAAAACTGGACTTATATTTTTAGCACAGTTTAATTTCTTAAGTGCTCAAAATATTCTCCTTCAAATTTGCAAACGTTCCAATAACAGAATCCTATGACACACGGCACGGAGATAATCCCGATCTGCATAAATTTCAATGAAAACTTCTAAGATGTACTCTTTTAATTCTTCCACTGTGTGGGGATTTCTCTCATAAACCTTCTTCTTTACTACACCCCCCTCAAAAAAAAAAAATAAAAAAAAGAAATACATTGGTGTTAGTTCAGGTGAACGTGGCGACCATTCCAAGTTAGCACTTTTTCCGTCTAACGCTGTGGAAAGGTTTGGTTAAGGTAATCCCTTACTACCAAAGCATAATGGGAAGGTTCTCCATCTTGCTGAAATAACAGTTCGGCGAAGTTAGATCTAAAACGTGAAACAACTATAAGTTTATTATGTGCGTACATATACGTATATATATATATATATAGATATAGATAGATAAGTATGGGCGTATCCTAATGGTTTCATAACAAACCTAAAAAAAACGTAACATTTACAATATGTCTTTGCCCGCAGGATATTCAGCACTGTATTCAAAAATCTTAGCATCGTTCGGTCGAACGATAACTCTTTAGCAGAGATATTTATTGTACAAATGTACAACTCTTTAGCAGGCCTTGAATTCCATATACGACCACCCAGTTAAGATCAACGTCACTAGACGAGAAATAGTCTACAAGGCGAGCTCGCACATTATTGTAAAAAAAAAAAAAAAGGCTGGGTTATCGGTCGCCACTTTTTACCTCCGACTTAGAATATAAGACCCCCCCCCCCCGAGCTGGAGGGGGGGTGGCTTCCAACATTTCAAGGTTAATTTTAGATACCATATCGTTAAAGATACCGAAGTCTACACTCGGAATATCGAATGTTTGTAGGGATCAGCAAAATGGCGGAACGAGCGTGACCGAGGAATGCCAAGACTCCATCTTGAGACCTACCTTGCCGAGTTCATGTGGAAAAGACAACTACCCGATGGAGTCGACCCATTCGACCCCATTTTGTAGGTGACCGCCGAGTTCATGCCACCCGAATAATAATATTTATTAATGTTTGTTATTTTTATATGAAATAAATATAATTTAAGAAACAAATGTTATATTTTTACACATGTGTATTTGTGAAAAAGTTGGAAAATTAATTTATGAAATGGTGACAGATAACCCACAACTACGAGAAAAAGTGTAAAAAAAACAGAGGGAAAGAGAGAGAAAGAGGGAGAAAGCAGAGAAAGAGAAAGGAGGAGAAAGCAGAGGGAGAGAAAGAGAAGGAAAGAGATAGAAAGAGGGAGAAAGCAGAGAGAAAGAGAAGGAAAGAGAGAGAAAGCAGAGAAAAGGGGAGAAAGAGAAAAATTCAAGTCTAAATGGTTTACAGAAGAAATCTTACGGAAAATCTGAGAAATAATTGGTTAAATACGGGCTACATTTATTGGCAAGCATCAACTAGAGTTCGACATTTCTCTGCTTGCCCCCCCCTCGCCCCCCAAAAGAAAATGTAAACTGAATTCCTCCCTGGTGTCTTCATGGGAAAGGTCAGATATAATGACTTCAATTACGGAAATGTTATTAAAAGAAGAGAAAATTAAAAGAAAAAAAAATATCAGAATCAGTGGAGATTTCCTGGTTTCTGTCGAATAGTAGACTTTTTTTTATAGGGTGTCCACTCTACAGAGTATGAATTTATGTCAGACTACAAGAGGCCACTGCCACCATAGAACCAGTACTACCTGCAATATAATCAGATCATTGACGACAAAATCGGGTCATCTTTTCATCTTTTCCCGGGTGGAAGGTGTCTAGACGCCTAGCAGGATAAGAAACAAATCCTGTCAAAGAGCGGATGACCCTTCATGTAAGGTCAACGGTACAGTAGTTCAAACTGTACTATATATATATATATATATATATATATATATATTTGTGTGTGTGTGTGTGTGTGTGTGATAAAATATATTTCAAGTATATTTGGTATATTCATGAGCTAAAGCGCTCAATATCAGGGATAGATCGTATGTAAACATAAATGTGGACATTGAGATCAACACCGAGCGGCGACAGTCTTATTAATGTTTGAACAGAATCTTTCGGCCATTTCTCTCCCTCTCTCTGATATTGAGCACTATCATCCATAAATATAGCATCCCTTAAAAATGTATTTTATCATATATATATATATATATATATATATATATGATTATTTTTTTATAAAAAAAAATTATAATATAAATATGTTATAAAATCACTACAAAAATAGCCATTTTGTTTCAACACCCTCGGTGTCTTATCAAGTGATGATGTTGAAAATAAAATAAATGGTTTTAAAAGTTTCAAATTAATTAACGATCCTTCGCTAGGGGAAAACATTGTTACAAAAGTTAGAATGACCAATCAAAAAACAAGTATAGAAAGATTCAAAAGCTTGACAACGAAATCATGTTATAATAGCTATTCAGATCTTTAAAATACGGGTAATATTAAAAATAATTTATTCTAAGCAATAATTATTAAATTATATGATAAAATTTAATATTAAAATTAAAAACTACCAATTTTAAAATCCAAATTTAATCACTATTAAGTTTAAAAACTATAAAATTACTGAGGAGAAAAGGGGAAATACATATGTTATTCAATTTATTTCTTCGTTGAAATTACGTTGGAACAGACGCTACAATATCCGGTCATTTGACAATACATATATATATATTTTAATCCCAATGGGGTCTTAAACTCACGTGCAAAACAACACAAACACAATCAGATTATAATACATAAGCACCCAGACATATTTTGATATATATACACACAAAAAAGCGACGCGAGAGGAACATCTCCACAGCCCTTTATGTAAAAAAAAAAAAAAAAAAACGGGGAAACCAACACCTACACACAATTAAAAGTGAATGCACTTTGTTGGTTATTGGAATTCATTCCGTATACACCAATTATATACTTGGGTATATATATATATATATATATTGTTTTATATGATAACAAATTTAATAATTATGTTTCGAAAGAGGGAATTTAATGACAAATTAACCTTACTTTTTGCCATCTACCAAATTTGAGGTCCCACACCTTACATTTAATATAACAATAAACTACATCTGACAGCAAGGGATCTGATCAGAAGATTGGAGATTTTGAAGAGCGTGGAACCACCTCTTAATTGCTATTGTTCTCAGGTCCACCCTGACCTGGGGTGGCAGCACCTGTTAGGGACCCAGCTATGTGCAAATAGTGAACTCTCAAGTAAAAACAAAATACTATGAAAGTATAAAAAACATTTTTATATGCAAAAAAAAAAAAAAAGAAAAGAAAAAAGCTACAATATATATTTATAGTAAAATTTACCAATAGTATCTATTTATGGTATATATTTAGTTGAAACCATGAAATTGTGTTCAAAATATTTAGATTTCAGAATTAAATGACCCATAGGGGTGTTGATATGCAACCGCTATGAAAATCTGAATTAACTAATGAAAACAGAACTATAGTCGAATGGTAGGAAACTGTCTAGATTGGTTTCTTTTTTACGGCTTATCAACCTTTTGCATGTTATTTAAAGCCAGAAAATATTTTTAGATTGTAAGAATTTTTCTTTTTTTAGATAATGATTTTACTGATATGAGTCCTACCAATTAAACCATACCTTCAGGGAAGAGGCAGATTCATGCCTTTCTCACGTGTAAGTGAATATAATAAATCCAACTAGGATTGGAGCTCCAGTTTCGAGACATTACATCATCCGCACATCCAAGCTTACAGATCCAGGTATTCCCAATTGGTCACTCATCTAGTTACTAACCAGGCTCAGCGTTGCTTAACTTCGGTAATCGTACGCGAACTGGTGTTTTAAGGTGATATGGACATAAGTCCAACTATGTTTGGAATTAATTTATAATCTACTCCAGCCGACAGTATATCGTTTATAGTGCATTTTAGAGTTTCAAACTCCATCGAGGATTATAACTTTGAGAAGCTTTACCGAATCTACATTAATGACATTAACCTCTTCTTGGCGGTCAATAATTCTATTTGCGATAAGTCAAACTGTAAGAAAATAATGAGTCGAGATATCAAAATTTGTTTCAGTTTTCCGAAACTAAATTTCCAGTTTCGTTTAGTAACAATTTATTTCTGTATCTGTCGATTTCTGAGATGAAATATTGTACAGTGTAACCCGGATATAAGAGAGTTGTCGGGACCGGAGACGAAGTCTCTTATATCCGGGTTAGACTGTAATCATTCACACTATTTACGTCTTTCGGACTATTGTCCCCATCTTTATTGACATATTACTCTTCAAAATCTGTCTATTTCTGAGATGAGGTATTGTAACTATTTACACTATTTACATTGTTCAGATTCTTGTGCTCATCTTTATTGCCATATTCACAACGTTTCGGCCGTCGTACGCTCCGGGCTTTTTCGGGCGATATTTGTTGCAGTTTCGGACCGAACCCTTCATTTCGTCCACGGGGATAGATTGTTCTATCCAACGTACCATACCTTGTGATATTTCTGTTAATTTCCCCCTTGATAACTCTCCAAGTTTTTGTTCTCTCTGCTGAGGTCAGGGATTGAATTCACAACTCTTTCGGTCATGTCACTTTTTGGTTCAATCAACTAACGCTTTTATTCACTGCGACGTGGAATCACAAGGTATTCAAACAATTTATCCTGTGGATTAAATAAAGTGTTCAGTTTGAAATTCCAACAAATATCACCCGAAGAAGGCCGGAGCATGCAACGGCCGAAACATCGTGAATGTGACAGTAAAGGTGAGAACAACAGTACGAACGATGTAAATAGTTACAATAGCTCATTATAAAAATATACACAAATCCTGATGAACTCAAATAACGCAACTTAATTGAATTCGGGTTGGTCTTCTGTGCTTTATAATACCTTGTAAGTATAAAAATAAGTTTTAATACAAGCAATACTTTTGGGGAAAATTTTTTACCAGCAATACATTTAAAAAAATATTACCAATCATATAAATCTTGTCGGCATTGAGGTCGACAGTGATTTTCCAAGTGTAGCTTAGATGTGTCACAAGGTCGAATGTTTAGGGCACTCAGTGAGGATCGAACTCACTACTCAGTCGTAATTATTCTAGCGAGACAAGCTTGCTAACCATTACACTGCCTTTAGGTGCCTTAAATGATTTTCTAAGCGTAGCTTAGATGTGGCACACGGCCAAGAGCTTGAGGCCCCCAAAGAGGATCGAACTCTCTATTCAGTCTTAACTGTTTTAGCGAGACAAGCTTACTAACCATTACACCATTTTCTTTTTCTTGCTAACCACTACATCATTTTCTTTTTCTTGCTAACCATTACACCATTTTCTTTTTCTTGCTAACAATTACACCATTTTCTTTTGCTACTTGAATCCATGTACAGTAATTTGTTTTAATTACATAACTAATTATTAAATAAATAAACTGAAACAGACTTCAATAAGTAAAAACGTTCAATAGAACGCCAGGATATTGGAATTTAATAAACAGAATTTTGTAAATTAAAAACAAAAACGTAAAAGATACCTCCTCCCCACCCTCGAAAGCATCCCGCACCCACCCGGTTAAGAGCTCTTGGCTGAGAGAATTAAAAAGTTGGTTCGTAAATTTAGTGACGTAGTCGTTGCGTGTTCAAACCCTGTGCTAGGTAGTTTAGTGCAAAAAAAAAAAAAATAAAAATAAAATAAATGGGAGGATTATTAATAAAAAAAGATAACAAAACAACACTCGGTCACATCAACTATGAACATGGTTACAATGTGCTGACCATGTTTTGAAAATAAAACTTTCCGATAACTCTACATACATACATTAATCAATTCCTGCATTCAGTTAAAAGTAAAAATAAATTCGTCCTTGATAATGGCTAAAAGTATAGTCGAAAGCATTCGGACATTCAAGACATTCGGGCAATTTCTATAGAATTTCTGTCCAGGAAAGAAGAAGATTATAAGAACACGTGGAAAATCAAATAAAAAACTTAAATGTATTACCTTGTCAGTAGTTTTAATGAAATTTGAGTGTGTGTATATATATATATATATATATATATATATATATATATATATATATATATATATATATGTGTGTGTGTTATTTTTAATTTCTTTTTAAATGTTATTTTTGATGGGTACTCATATTGGAGTAGAAAGTCTATTTTTTAATTAAACATTTATTTTTTATCTAACTACATCTACCGGACTGAATATTTGAAAAATTTTTCATAAAAACATGTGTCCACCGCCAGCAATAGAACCTGCATCGACAATGGGAAACAAAATCGGATCAGACGTGCTTAGACCCTCGCAACCAGGTAGGACTTCCGAATCGTGCCTTTTGAACACCCCCCCTAACAAGTCACATAATATCCATATCTGCTCTGCATCGTATCCTAACGTAAACAAAGACAATTTATTTTTAGGAAATGGATTGAATCCGACATATTGTTATCTTTAATTTATTTTGTTTAAACATTATTTTTGATGGATACCCATATTTGAGTAGAAGCGCTGCATTTTAATTAAACAGTACTTTTTTTTATCCAACGATATCTACCAAACTGTAGAATAAAAAATATAAAAATATGCCAGAGAACGCAATGATGTCGTTGGATAAAAAATACTATTTAATTAAAAAAATATATGGTTTCTCCCAAACCCCAATCTACCATCCAAGCTCATCAAATATATTTTGCGCTGTTTTCCTTTGTTCATCTTTCCCGCAATCCGCCTTGTGAGTATCAAGTTTTCCAAGCCCTACTTCATTACGTGCCCCAGAAACTTCAACTACCTCTTCTTGATGTTAAGTATAAGTTTCTTTTTTGTTTCCATTCTCTCCAAAACCTCATCGCTGTTCATATGTTCGTCCAGTGGTATCCTCAGCATCCTTCTGTAGAACCACACTTCTGTTGTTTCAAGTCTCTTCTTCATCTTTGAGGAGATTGTCCAGCATTCGCTGTCATACAGGAGGAAAGACATTACCTAACAGTTCCGTACTATTTTCTTTGTTTCTAATAAAATTTTCCTGTCTCTTAATACTCTGCTTAGCTTTTGGAAGGCAACTTTGGCCATCCAGTATCGCACTTTTCGTTCTCTGTTAGAACACTTGCCAGATATTTAAATTTCCATACCTGCTTGATTTTAGTGTCCCTGACCTGTAATTTGCATTTTGGGATCATCCTTTTGCCGATAACCATGCCTTCGCTTAAGAGGCACGGTGGAGTAAGCGATAGCGGCTCGGATTGCGGAATCAGAGAGCCGAGTTCGAATTCCAGTTGAATCCATTACATTCACTTACCTGTTAATATCAGTACCTCCACAAGATCGCTAAAAAAAGAGAACAGCTTGATGAAAAAGACGTCAAACTTGACGAAAACAAAATCTAAGTGTCTAAATGTTTATATTATTATTAAGAGGAAAGATCAGAGTTTATTTTAATTATTTAAAAAACCTTTTCCTTCTTTTTAGAAGAAACTGAATTTTCATTTAAAAATCCTTGTTTCTATTTGTATCACCGGAACTAGTAAAATAACATATACAATTTTTAGCACGTTGTTTTTTTTTTTTTTTGTATGTCAGACATTAATTTGGAAAATCTTGCAAAAATAAAAATAATTGTCGGATGTTAATGAAACTTTCAGAAACTATTTAGAGATGATCGAACTTATTATAAATGTTTTCTTTTATTAAAATCATGGGAGAAATATTTTTTTATATTTATTACCACACCCAATAACTAATTTTATGAAAACTCTAGAAATTCGATCGAGTAAACTTAAGTAATTACAATAGTTAAAAACACAAGGCTTTGAGGAATGCAAATCATGTTTTTAATTGGATCCCCTCTACCTGAAAATCAGTTCTAAATTGTAACATACAAAACTCAATAAAACAAAGATATTATTTAATTTCAAATGCTTTTATTTGTTTTTAGTTGTTTTTATGAATATGGACAATATTTTCTGAAAGCAAAAACATTTTTCGATGAAAAATGAATTTTTAATACCATTATTTGTTATTTCTTCATTATAATATTTTTACATTTAAGTTGTTAAAATATTATTAAATTAGTTAAAAGCCGCATCCACTTTCATAAGTGTCCTTATGAGATAGATCTTTTTTAGCACGTTGTAAATTGTATCGTTTTGACTAATCAGAAGATCCGCAGTAATTAAGAAATGTAATTTTGTGTTTATAATCAGGATGTAATTATAAAGTATGGAAGACCAACCAGAATACAATTAAGTTGCGTCATTTGAGTTAAGCATTGTTCTTCGCTGTTAAAGCCTTTTCTTTTGTGAAACACGTGTGGAGGAGTTTATTTGATTTTTCAATTTCAATTGAGAAGGGTACCTACAAGTATCAGTATCATCTTATGAAATTCATATGAACTCATTTTTATATTAATCTCAGTTATGGCATTAATTCCATAAATGAAATATCAAAATTAATAATAAAATGAATGGAAATACAAATAACACAGTAAAATGTAGTAAATGTAAAAATAAAATTATAGTATTTATAATCATTAGATGCTTAATTATATATATATATATATATATATATATATATATATATATATATATATATATGCATTCACTTGATAAAGTTTCTCAAGTGATGGAACGTGTCAACATAAATGGTCCTACTGTTGTCATTTCTTTAATATTGTTTTTACAGAAACGTGTGTGCGTGTGTGTGTGGCGGCATTGATATGTGTGTGCATGTGGCGGCATTGATATGTGTGTGTGTGGCAGCATTGATATGTGTGTGCGTGTGTGTAGTGGCACTGATATGTGTGTGTGTGTGTGGTGGCATTGATATGTATCTGGGTGGAGGCATTGATATA